CCCCCTCTACGAAATGGAATATCGACGCTTCCAACGCACGGTGATCGTAATCTTGCTGTATCGAGCTGGCTGGCAGAATCTACGGATGCTCTTGTCCGGATCTTCCTAGAACCTGACTTGTGAGCAGCTCCACAGCTGTCGGCGACTGACCCCGCCTTGCGCTGATGACTGGAGCTGCTCACCAGAATGATGGTAAGATCTCAAATCCCTTCATAGGATGCCAAGTCTTCGCGACGCATGAACGAGCTGCTCTCAATGAGAGCAGTCCCGTCACGATCCGCTCGATTCATGTCTTAAGGGGTTCTCTCCTGAGTGAATAGGTGACTCCTGAGTCGGCATGCACCGGGTCATGCTTCGAGCTCTCATAAGCAGTGGACTAACGCTTCCTCGAGACAGTCCCTCCTCTTCTAGCGTGGTTAGCGTGGCTCCGAGCGGGAAATGTTCCATCTGAGCTTCACTCTCGCTAAAGAGCCTGAGCGGCTGAATTTTGGACTCATTCGGAATCAACCCATCTCGCCGAATTTCGGCCGGCACGGACGCTCGTGATAGAAATAGAAAGCTCACGGCAAACCATCGGGTGACGCCCATTCGATATGTTGATCAGAAACTCGAAGCGTGGGCGTCTGCTCTCGAGTGAATGAAATTGCCAGCCGGGCCCCTGCCGAATTACCTGCATATTCTTTCGGATTTTTATGGAAGCATGCCCTGAAATGAATCGGCGATGTTATATGCATTATGATTCCACGTAGCTCTTGGACGACGAGAAATTCCGGAAGCGATCAATGTTTTCAGATCGGGAATTCTGGAAGCGGTCAGCGCACAGGAAGCTCCTCCGATAACAGTTTTTTTTTCAGTTGCAGATATCGCAATGGTTTCCTTTCGCCACCAGACGGCGAGATCTTGCGTGCTATACTCCGTTGCGCGTGCAATACACGTCGGAAAGTCGATAAATCAACTCGAGCTCTAGCCTTTGTAGGTGGCTCCGAGAAAATCAAGGGAACTGGAATCTTAGCAGGGTATCCATTCGGCTAGAGCTTCCATATAATATTCTGGAAGTATCGTCGGCGTTCAGAGAACGGCCGGGCGATGAGCGCGAGAGCGGATCTTGGCTCGATATCGGCGCACGCTAGTCTCGAGCTCTACGCTCGACGACATGGCTTTGACTGCCTACAAAGGTGTCCAGGATATCTGGAGCTACTCTTGGAGCCAATCTTCTCCTAAGTCGCCGGTGTCAGGTATCTCCCCCCCCCTGGAATCTAATCTCATCGTGATACACACTATCAAGGAGCGGCGACGATCTCTCGCAGAAGTGCTCGTAATGAATAAAGATAAATAATAATCGGAAGGAGTAGTCGCATGCATCCGATTTTCCTCTAATCAATTCGGAGTTCTAAAATTCGTTTCACACCGGTTGCCCACCAGCAGCCTCGAGACAAGATTCCTTCCAGGAAAGGAGTGCCCGGGCTTTTTGTTGTCCCAGCTCCCTCCGCTTATTCGTGTGATAGGAGTGGGAGCAGAGGACCTCCTTGAAATCATCTGCGGCTCAAGGAATCTTGGACTTTTCACGGTTCCGGGCCCAGAGCAGGATGGAAACGGTGAGGCCGAGAGGAAATAAGGCTTCGAGCATGAAAGTCATGACGAAGCAACGATTACAGAAAGCGACGTGCGATTCGAAAAATCACAGAGTTTTCGAAACTATTTGACTTCGAGAGAAGCCGATGTCATCGAAAGGTTCACTTTTTTGTACCTCGGAGGATTCATCATCCAGACCCAAGTCCGTGATCGACAGCTGGGGCCTGACTCACCTTAATTCAAGAAAACGCTTTCGTTCTCGTGAGGCCTTTGGTTCTCATTTTTCGGTGGATTCAGTCAGACTTCATTGATTCGAGAGGGCCTTACCGGGATGGAGAGGAACGAGGTGCGACGGAAGCTCCGAGCCTCCCGACGAATTTCTCTCGCTCACGGAACATAGGATAGGGCTGAGTACTCGGTCACTCGATGCTGAGACTCGCACCGACGACTTTCTCATCATTTCCGATCGAAATTAGATTCTCGCAAACGATAAGAACAGAAAATTCCGCTTGATGACGAGTCGGGGGAAAGGAAATTGCCATGAGTCGGTAACGAGGAAAAATTCCGCGAAGGAGAATCGATGCACGGGAAGATTTGTTCTCCGAAAGGGCATGCTCGAGTCCCCTCAAGTGCTCTAGTGAGCGAGACAACGCTGAATGGTCGGCGTAGATGGAGACGACTTGAATTTGACCAAAGATTCTCTGTCAATCAAGACCTCGGCGGGGCGTTGCTTCAGCTGTGAGGTGAGCGTTCTGACAGTCTGGGCATTCCAATGGATCGGAACAAGGCCTCAACTTCCCACGTGGACGATTGTGTTGGAACTGAGCGAGCATCGATAGACTACGAGATATCGAGCTTTAGGTATGATTACGATCATGATATCAGTGATACCAAGCCACGAATTAAAGCCCCGAACTCAAGCCACGAACTCAAGCCACGAAGCAACCTCTCGCACAATATCGATTCTCGAAGTGGTGTGAAGTGGTGTGTGTGAGGGCGAAACCGTATGTGAAGAGTATGCTCCGACCTATCGGCCATATAATCAGCATCATATATCGGTCGCTCCTTGGTAGCATGGTGAAGCCGGTCCTTCGACAACCAATCCATTCATTCGGCCCTCTCGCCTAACTTCGAAGGTTGAAATGATATGACGATTCCCTTGAGGAGATGGTCTTCATGCGATAATCTTCATGAATCGTACACCATATCGCCCACCGAAAAAGGACACAACGCTTAGGCGGAACGTCAGCTGGATATCCCGGCGGAGGACAATGTAGGGAATCCTGCCTGTTTCAGAAATGTTCGCTTGATGTCATTCTATGAGCTCAATCTGACGATTCCTGAACCAGATCAACGCATAGACGCTGGGCTCTCTTAAGCCCCCAGAGAAAACTTTCCCTCATTCGATCGTTGTATCTCCTCTATGTCCGATATTCTGGTATCTGGAGAAATCTGATCGCTCCCCGCCTCATCTGCTTCCGAATATTCGGCCGGGACCTGCGGCAGCTGTAACTCGATACGGAATTTGAATTGGATCATCTCTTGTAGACATTCCGGAATGTTCCTCCTCCTTCCCAGATATCAGAGCCACGGGTTCGTCTCGATGGGCCGAGTTTGATGGTGCTCCTGAATTTCGTCGTGAAAAAGAGTAGAAAGGACTCGCGAGGACTGGACGGCGTCAAGCCATTCACGTGAGTAACTTCGTCCAATCGGTGGTGCCATTGTTGCAGGAAATTCAATGACCCCCGCGAATTTCCGATCCCTCGCGGGGTCTCCCAATATATTGTTCTACATCGTGACGATCCCCGCAATTTCTGGCGGCCCGAGGGATCCATCGGCCTCAAAGCTCTCTCCAGGTGATGCGATTGTCCTTCATTCGACTTTGGTGTTCCCTCGAGGCCAGACCGTATAATGGGAGCAGCATCAGAGGTGCGAGCCACAGGTGGCAGGAAGAGTATGCACTGCATTGGAATAATTATTGATCGATTAGCTTTGCTGATATCGAACCTGGCGAGATCAGTACCATCCAAGACTCCGACGGGTCGCTTGCTGTCGAAGCTCGCAAATTTCGAGTAGCGAAGCACTGGCTCAAACCCAGGAGTCCGATATCCTGCATGAGACACTTCTTATTGGACCAAATTCGGAATCGTCTGGTGATCATTCCCCAAATTATCTACCGGAGATTCTCCAACACAGCAGAAGAATTCGGCGACTCCAGAAGCTTACCCCGGGAGCACCTCTGAGCGACCAATCAAAGCTGAAATAGACGCCACTAGGCAACGTTCTGCATTCAGTTGGGATAGGGAATCTTCCCCACCTCGAGCATGGTTCACACTTCATTCGTTCCGCGGATCCTTGGGGCTCAAGAATACGAAACAAGCGAGCAGTCATAACATACGGGCTGCGAGAGTTCCAGGGGGAGTAGCCGAGTGTGCACGAGTCGATATACCCGGAGTTCAAGGCTTGGTTATTAACCAGGTCAATTTCTGGCATTTTCCATTCGACCTCGAACACGAGTCGACGGAAACCATTCTGGCGCGGGGCAGTGACGGGAGAGCAAGCGATAGGGAATAATCTAATGCCAACATTTGAATCATGAGGCAACTTTGAACTTTGTTTAGAAAGGGGCGGGCGAGCAGAGCGATCCAACGCTGGCGCGTCAGATATCTACGGAGGATCGATTATGTTATGACGGCGAGCGCCAGGCCTCCAAGTAATCTACCATGCACTTCCAATGGTTATCTGCTTGTATCGAAGGTGGTGGTAGCGGTCACCACCGGTAGAATCCTTCCGCGGATGCAGTCTTTCATTCAATGAATCTGTCGATCGGTCAATCAATCTCTGATTCTCGTGCGAGTTTATTGACGCCGATCAGCGCGCATTGAGAGCCCGCGCTTTCTCCGAGTGTTTTCACTGGGGTGTATGTCAGCGGGTGGCCCAACAACCCAACGGTAGCGTCAAGAGCTTTCATAGCTGACTGGTATGGTGCGCGTAGCGATTCGCTTGTCACACTCCTCCCACAACCCTCCGCTTTCGAGTGGATTCTCTTGGCTATGGACTGGGAAGCGAGGGTACTTTTCGGGGCTACAGCAGTCGCTCTCGATCGCCTCATACTTGCCGGCGCGGGATCAGTGTGCGTGTGTGTATGTGTGTTGTAAGGCGGCATTCTAGATGCGATTACTCTGGAGCGGTCAGAGCACACAAAAAACTCGCGACGCAGGCCGAGGAAATGACGGGGAACTGATTTCTTCAAGAATAAACCTGGTCGCCTCTCCGTGCAGGGAATCTCAGTGAATCTCCGGTGGCTGTGATTGAGGAGTCTAGACTCTAGACTGATCGCAACGCTCCTGACGCAGACAGAGCTCCAAGACTGACTAGAACACGTTGAGTATTCTCACCCGGAAATTCCGTTGGACTCGACCGAAAGCATGCCGGCGTCAGAGTATAAGCAGAAGGTCCGGATTACGGTTCTGGGGTCGAAAAACTCTGGCAAAACATGTGAGTTCCTTTCTATGACGGGTCTCCGTAGCTTCTGGCAATGCTTCATACTAGAGGAACCACAGCGGGTGAAGTTAACAAAATCTTGAAAAGATTCAAAAGAGGGAAATATCCCTCAGACTGCATCCGGACACTGTAAGCAAAATTCGTGTCCGATGATTGTATGGTGTAGCTCGAGGGAGCGGAGCGGAGGAGAAGGAGTACGTCAGTTAAGCTAAGGCTGCCAACGTAGCGCGAAATATAGGTCAGTGATGCCGCGCAGGTTACAGGGAATCTCTCGCGACTCTTGAGCTGTGCTCTTTGATTTCTGAATCAACAATGCCGTTTTCTTGACGGCATCATCGCCGGCGCATTCAGCGTAAACAGGCGGCGAGCGCTGGTATGTCTCGAAAGACTCGATATTTTCGCTTGGAATCGTCGGATCTGCTCCCTACGAGGCCCTCCTCAAGTGCATAGATTTCGAGGTACTGAAATTTTATCGAGAGATATCGAGTTGACCTGTATTTCCAGCCTTCGTGTACCGATATCTCGCTCGGATATCTTTGAAGAACGATGAAAAAGCATCGAACACCACCCCTTACGACAACATATACAATCACTGTGTTTGCCTTGATCACGTTCTCTTCGATCTCGAAATAGTGGACTTGGGGCATCCTAATGTGAGTTCTTTGCATGATTTCGCCTCCTTGCCTCAATGCATTCATGACCGGGCTACAGCGGCAGATCAGTCGTAGGATTCTTGATTCCTGCATCGATGGAGGTGCTTCGCGGGCAATTGATTCGAGATCCTCTTCCGTCGACTCGACGGATCACCATGACATGAAGGATGACTCACCCACACATGTCGGCGAGCTTGAGATCTCCGAACCTTATGTATTTTTCTCTTCCAGAATGGAGCCAAGTTCGAGAAATCATCTGATGCTTTCATAGTCGTTTACTCCCTCACCGCGAAGGCGGACTTCGAGGAAGCCACCGGAACTTGCCAGCGTCTCAAGCTCATGTATCCGAGAAAACCTGTCCTGCTGGTCGGGAACAAGGTCGATCTCGAGAGAGAAGTGGACCTCGGTGAAGGCCACCGCTTGAACGGAGAGCTCTCAGTTGAGCTTAGCTCAGCCCATGACAACAGCTGGGAGGTCCATCAGGCGATGTATCTTTTACTGCGAAAGGTTTCTGAGATCTATCAGCTCCCTGTCCTTTTGAAGGCGTTGAAAGCCCAATCCATGGTGAAAGGAGATTACGAAGATTCTCTGAAAATGTCGTCGGTGTAAAGAAAGGCTTTTGCCTCATGGAATAATACACGATGCGTCGAGAGGAGATCATTATTCACAATAAAGGAAGCTCCGAGAGCATCTCGGGCAGTTGATGAATCCATCCCCCAAGACTCGTCTCAAATTCTGGCCGCGGTCTGAAGGACGGTGCTTAGATTTACCTGCTAAGAATAGAATTACCCGAGTCAAATTGCGCGTGGGAGGCTCGATCAAAGTGGGAGAGACTGGACTCAGAGGCCTTGGTCCGAGGAACGTGAATTCGCTCGCAGTGCGATCCGAGGGCCGTCCATGAAAAATAATTCTCCTGTCTCTGACCTAAGAGCGGCCTTTTCTCAAAGAATAGCGAGCCGAACCCCCGGAACGTTTGCGGGGCTAAGCTCCCGCTGAGTCCCTAGATAATCGCAGCGATTCCCAATATTTCAATACTGCAGGGCCGAAGAAGCCCTCACAGATTAGAATTTCTGCAACGCCTCGTGAGTACGTGATTAGGACCCCCGCTCGACGACGATGGCTTTGTTCCCGCCGAGCTCGAGAGTGAATTTCCCCGGATGGATTGAGTCGAGGAATTATCTAATTGAAAAAATCATGAGATGTTACTATAAGACGATGATAACAAGGATGTTTTCTCATGATTATCCCCACTGATGCCTGGACTTCGACTCGTGGGAGGCATACCGGAGAGAAGCGGACCCTCCGCCAACATGAGCTCATGCTCCCGTGTCGTAGACCCGAGCTCGTGAATATTCCTAGCTGTAAATTCTCGCTTGGTCTAAGACAAGGCTCTAGGCTTATTCGGTGAGGAGAAGAAATCGAGAGCCAGGCTTACTCTCATCGTGGAGTCGGGTGTGCTTTTCCCCGAGAAACATACCGGGGCCATGCTGAGTTCCGACTCTCTGTTCTCCGAAGTGCTTTATATGTACAAGCGTGTTTACCGTGGCTGGCCCGCAACGCATTCCCTTATCCGAGCGCGAAGGTTCTGATTGCAAACTGCGAGGGAATAGGAAAGAGGTAAGCTGGCTCGCAACTCGGGAAACTGCGAGCTACGTCTTAATTGTCATTGACTCGAGCCGAAAACACGCTCGTGTGGCGCATGCCGTATCCGAAGCTCTCTCGCGCTTCAGTCGAGCCTAGGATTATTCCAAGCTCAAGGTGACACTCAGAGCGCTTCCGTGGCAGCGAGGCAGGCTCGCTGCGGTCGTTCCGTCAAGTAGAGCGAATTCCTTGGAAGTTCTCAACGACTCTCGGTATCTATGCATCTCAACGGAGTTTTCGGAGCTCTAGATCGCGTAGCGCCCCGAAACAGAGAGTCCGGATATTATTCGCTTTTACCCGGGGCGATCCTACCGAACCATGATCGCGTGTCTGCTCGGACCCGGAGCTGGAGAGGGACCTCAATGCGGGAACGATGGAAAAGCTTAAGGCAACGAATAATGGATGAAAATTATTTTTATAGAATCCAAAAGCGTATAGGACTCGTTCTCGACGAGCTGCCTTTATTTTTATGCCCCCCTCCCATGCGGAACCGGGAAGCATCGACGTACAACTTAACGACCCGGCGGGATTGCCGGATAATCTCTCCTGGAAGCAGAGGTGCGCTCGCTTCTCGCCGCAGACGGATAGATAAGGCAAAAAAGCATCTGCTCCGGATATAAATATGCTCAGCAACAGACCGATCATGATCGAGAAATTTCGATGAGGTCATTCGAGAGCTCTCAGCTGTGACTTCTGCGGAGGGATTTCTTCACGCACGATGCGAAATCGGCGCCAGGGGTAAGACTTAGTCCAAAGGACTTCAAGCGTTCCTCATCCGCGCCTCGCAATATCAGCACGCATGTGATTCGTGTTTGGAAAATTCTAGGCGCAAAGAGAGAGCTACATATTAAGAGGCGACACGACGATCAGTCCCGCGAATTTTTTCGGAGTACCGCTCTGCTCCTGCGCGTTTTGTCGTCCCCGGTATCTGCGACTGGGCTCGGGAACGCTTCAGGGGAAAATCTCCGATTACGACGCCTGGTCAGAATTCTATCTTTCCTATACCGGAAGAATCTTCTCCGCGCTCGCTCCTCGGCATTCATGTTGTCAGGCTCCCCCCTGTTCTTTCCCCAATCGTCGCTGGCTGCCCACGTTGGAATTTCGACCCGCAACGACAGGAGAGGGCTTTCACGTCGGTTGCGGCGCGGCGTCGACTTGGACTTCTCCCCAAAAGAAGACCTAATGATCCGGAAGAGTATCAGCTTCCTCCTCTTACTTTTCCGATGTCGACCTTGGGAACCTCAAGGCGGAACCGTCTATTATGGGCTCACGATGCGTTTGAGCTCATACGTGTCATCTTATGTCATCAGCACGAAGGCTTGCGGAGCGCTCGTCCGATTCTTCCAAAGTTCCTTGGGGCCTCCGAACGGCGCTGTTGACCTTGACAGTGAAACTAGGTCAAACGTGAGTCCTGAAGGACTGACCAACTTCATATTAGCATGCGGTGAGGCGGACAGAAATCCATATACGCGGGAGAGAGGACGGGAGTACGTTAGTCGGATATGTTCATATTATTCGTAGCGAGCAGAAAATCGCCCGAACGAGTATTTGTATGTGGTCGGTTTGTTGGTCGGTTGCCTGATGGACACACGACATATAGCAGCGACTTGGCAGTCTGTTCCCACGTCGACGGGCTCCTCAAGCCGACCGAGTCACTGGACCACGTCTGATGTTAGATTGTCAACCGACTCGATGTTTGGCTTGATGTGCGCTGGCCTGGCTTCGTTCCGGATCCCGATACATGTGTTTATAGGACCAGGGACGGGCTTGCGTTCCGGAAAAGCCTCTCTGCTACACTCTCAAGCTTCCTCACTAGAAACTGACATACCGAGCCCCGGGACAAGAGCGGAGCTCCGCGAGTTCCGGAGTTTCGGCTCACGTTTGCATAATATGTCAATCGGTGCCTCGGAAAATTCCTCATTCTGGTTCCCCTTTTCAGATGGATCAGTGGGAGGATAACTTGGATCCATCTGGAATTCCGACTTCCCGGTCTTCTCCGAGCGGGTGCGCGCAGGATTCCTAGCTACATGTTTCTGTATCGATTAACGTCCAGAAGAAGCAAACGACGCTCAATGAAATTGATCATCGCAGCGCGTCGCACTGCTGGGAGCACGAGGCGGGTGAAAGATCCGATTTATCGTCGTGAAGTTCCTCGAGTTTCTCGTTCTCTAAAGTTCCGCCTTGAGGGCTCCCTCTCGGCTGGGGATGCTGAGCACTGTCCCATCGAATACATCGCCAATGGACGTCTGAATATGCATTCCCGAATGACTTACCCATCCCATGAAGAGCGATGGAATATTCCTCCCATCTTCCCCGATCGACGATTCTCTGGTCAACGATCAGCTCTACATCGATTCGTTCGAGGGTATCACAGAACCCTGATTCTCCTCACTCAGATCTCTCCGAGCATTTCCTGCCCGCTTTTCCCTCTTTTCAAATAGTTTGCAAGCGATCCATCTCCATTCTCGAGCCTGCATTGTGAAGCCTGTCCCTGCTTTGCATGCTTTGGCTGCACGACCCAGTCGGTCTTGAGTTGATGCTTTTATATCTAGGCAGCTCAAGTTCGCCGCTCCGACCATAATCGTGACATGGAAGTTCGGGAACTGGACACAACGCGTATCGATGGTCAGACAGATAAAGACTTCCAGGAAGTCCATAAGCTCCGATGCGGACACTCCGTATGTCGTATCCGCCGGGCCGAGCTCCTGCTTCTCCCGACGCATTGTCGTCTCCGCTGCTGCCGGAGTCGTATCGCTCTCCGAGGTGGAGAGGAGGCTGCCGTCAACAGTCGCAGCGGCAACTCCGTTCGCTTGATATTGGGGAGCTCTATTTTTATCTCGAGAGAAAAAAACGGACAGACAAACAGAAGGACCATTGGACAGACGGATGGACGGGCGGTGAGAGCAAAGGACAGACGCACAAAGCTCATAAGGTTCGTTTAATCTGTCACACTCTTACAGCTTTGTGCTATCTTTCTTTTCGACTGTTCCGTCGCGCAGCAGAAGCCTTGCTCGAAGAGCGTTGAGGGTATGATAAAGACGCATCATCTCCAAGGAAAAATGACCGATCTACAGCAAGCGGTCGCATCCACTCTCCTCAGGAGCTGCAGACCCCAGAATCTCCGCGGAATTGCTCAGAGACAGAGCTCTGGGTTCGGAGCGCCGCTCCCCGCTCCTGCAGAACGAATGAGACCGGCGTGACCGACATTCATCGTTCATCTATTTAAACCATTCGTTCCGATCTGCATTTCCAGTACGTGGCTCTTCCGGCGGCTTTCTATATGAACTACCTAAACCTAAACGATTCAAAATGTCGAATGAACAGTCCGGTTCCGTGACAGGGACAAGTGCAGGTTACGGACAGGCTCGCGCCCGGAGGCTCTCTGACTCCTTCGGAAAGGGATAGAATGAAAAATGGGTCGGCCATTTCCCCCGCTGTTTCCGAACAAAGACTGCAAACGCAATTTCCCTTTCCCTCTCTCCACTTTCGTCCGCACCGGGCCTACGCTGTATCGCACGTTTTTGGATACTTACGGGAAATCGTGTACGTAAATCATTCGACGTAGGACCTTGAGGCCTGCGAATAAGACACCAACAGTATATGGAATCGCGCTCCCGAGAAACATTTGTGTGCACGACATTCGACACATTGATCTGTGCCCCCTGTTTGAGGGAATCGAATGAATCGGGTTTTGTCCTATCGTCCGAATGATTGTTGTTGTAGCGAGGGATTCAAGCAGCTCAGGCACGCTGCGTACACTCATACAAGAACCAAACGGTCGGAGGCACTTGCGTCGTCCGAGGGCCGATTACAATATGAGATTAGTGTGACCCGAATTGTAAGCTCTGACGTGTGCTCCCGGCCTATGTGCGTTCATCGTACGATATAAGCTGTTTGCTTTACGTTAACCTCAGTCAGGGAATCCTGAGCTGCTCTACCAGACGAAATTGTTTATCCGCAAAGTGCCGCGTTATGGAGCGATTCGGCCAGACCCGCGTGTCCTCTTATCTGAGCCTGCGCGCGGAATTGGTTTGCGATTTTGTTGATCCACAGAGCTGTCGGATGTC